AATCGTTCTGAACTTAAAAGCATTTACAAAAAAATGTTTGTTTGTTTTTTTTTAATGAAGCTCAGAGAATTCCTGCTGGAGATGTTTTAGGTCTTAACCATCTTAGTTGTGATAACCTGGCTTACCTCTCTTAAGAGATGTGTGCTGTGTGTGCATAATATAATCCTTTCTTTTAATACTTTTTGATATTGATACCAACTTTTTCATTTGCCCTTGGATTTAAAACAGGCTTTATTGGGGTTTTGTTCCTCTTCCCCCACCCCCATCTCAAATCCAGTTGCATGAACTTGAAAGGTGAAGCAAAACTTCCTTCTTCCTGATGGAAAGTGAGGTTTAAAGTCTGGGCTTGCTCCAGGCTGGGTAACTGGATCCCTGACACGAGGGATCCCAGGGCTACTGTGTGACTGTAATTACCAACCCTGGCTCTGTAGTTCATCTAAAAGTAATGACTAATGGATGTGAAAGGAACAATGGATGTTAACCATGGAATACATTAACTCATGGAGACACCAAGGGAATTTAATGGGTTGTAATTAGAAATTTGAATGGGGTAGGAAAGAATGTTGAATTTGGGGGTTTGTATCCTTTTTTTTGTCTTTTATGGTATAGATCTGCTGGAGGAGATGAAATTCATGTGGCAGGTAATGTCCCAGCAGCTGTGATCTCTGCTTCAGGAAGGGCTTCTGGGCTAGATGGGAGTTGGCTTTCTAGACTGTTTCTGTGGCAAAGGAGTGCTTCTCACTAGTGCTGGGCTTGGTTTTGAAGGACCTGAAATGAAGCCTTCTAACTCTTGAAAGAGAAGGATTTTTGTCTGCTACTGAGAGCTCTGTTACTTATTTTAAATAGGTACAAAGAATTGCAACAGTTCTCCCACATATCTCGGTGTTGGAAGGAAGATACTGGTTGAGTCTCTGGTAAATCAAGTGAAATCTAGAATTTCTGGGAGCAAATATGGATTTCAGAACGTGTTGGCCTGTGTGGGTGTTCCCAATCCAGGAAAGATTTAGCATGATGTCACATTGTGGCATCATCAATAATCAAATTAGTGGTTTCCTGAACAGCATTTAGGGCTTGATCTTCTGGCACAACTGGCAGATAGAGGGGAAAGTATTACAGAACAGTTTAAGAACCTGTAAGGCTTTTCCTTTACTTAGGAGGAAAGGAATTTCTGTTTTGTGGAAAACACATTTTTTTGGTCTGCGTTTAGTAGCAACCAGCAGGGAAAATACAAGTGTTGAACCCTGCTGGCCATTTTTGTGAAAGCATTTTGGTAATGCAGTGTGCCCTGTACCCTTTCCCCCTCCTGTAGATGTTGCAATAAGTAATAGCAATGTGATTAGAATAGTTGGCTGGTGCAGTGCATGTGAATTTAGTTACCCAATCTGGGCTGTTTCTCCAACTGAATGATTATGAAAGGCATTGAATTGCTCTGCTGAATATACCTTAATATGTGGCCAAATTGAACTGTGGGTAAAACAAGCCTGGTGGATGCAACTCTGACCTTTGAAGTTAGTTCCTAGTTTGCTGCTCTGTGTTGGCTGAATCACTTTCTGAATTGTTAATGTGAAAATAATTGCTGTGCTCCATCTATAAAGTTGAATGTATAATTGTCTGAAAGAGGCCCTTCAGTGCACTGGGTGGTTTCTGGGGCTCAGCTGAAGGGTGGGGTGTGTGTTTGTCCACTGCAGGGTTTGCCAGTTCAGAAGTTGGGCAGAAGGACAGACTGCTGGGTGCTCAGCTCTTCCTGTAAACACTCCCAATTAGTCATTCCTGCTCTGGGTGAGGGCACATGTTACTGGAGTGACACTCAGAGGAGATGCCTGACCCACACCAGCCTCTCCCCGGGTGTCCCTGTTGGTCTCCAGGTGCTTCCCAGAGTGTTGGAGAAGTGTTGTCACCTGGGTAAAAACACATCCTCAGGAAGGGCTGGGCAAGGAATATTTTCTGTTCCCAGGCAGCTGTGTGCCCTGTTTGCCTGGGTCACTGTTTCCTGCTGTAGCTTTGAAAGCACTGCCTGTAGGTGAGGATTCTGAACTGCTGTGCTGTGGGTGATGGGGATGCAGTGCCTCGAGGTCACAAGTGGAAATGGCAGCAGTTGGTTGGCAGCTCTCTCATTCCACCCTGCAAAAGCATCCACTTTGGGGGAAAGGAGTTATTTTCTGAGCAGCCTTCTTCCCTTCCAGGCAAAAGTTCATGTTTTGAGTCATTTGAAGCCTGAGGATCTGAGATTATTGTTATTATTCAGATCTGCCTGCCACATAAATAAAACTGATACCTTGCATCTTCAGAATGAACAACAGGAAAACCCTGAAGAGGCAGCCAGAGGAGGTGGGGACAGTGTGGCCTTCAAAAGAAGGACCAAAGCAAACCTGTGTTTTTGCAAGTACTGACGTGGTTTGGAGTTGTGCAACTTCAGATGGGGGAGAGAATGTCAGGTCTTCAAACAGGTGGGAGAGGAGCTGAGGAGTAGGAGAAAGGGGAAGCAGTGAGTGAGGATAATGTAGCCAGAAATCAGTAAGAAGTGAATCTGTTAGAATGAATTAAGGAGTAAAAATGTGCAGTTAGAGAACCTAATGAAATATCTTTGTTATCAAAACCAAACAAAAGTGAAAGAGCTGTGCTGGAAAAGCTTTTCAGCATCTACTTGGACAAAAAAAAAAAAAAAAGAAAAATCCAGCAAAGAAACAAAACCCCAAATCCTCCACAGCAGAACAGAAGCTGTACTCAGGAAGGGTTGGAAATATGCTTTTATAAGACATAATTCATGGTATAGTAACATGCTTAGGGTAGGCAAATAGTGGCTAATCGAGAATTTCCTTCCTCTCTGTGTTAGCTAGTTAATCATGATGTTAAAGTCTTGCTTGTTCAGTGCAATCTCTTTTCAGTGCATTTGGTGTGTGCAAGTAAAGTTCATCTGTTTCAGGTCATTAGCACTGCATTAGCACAGCGTGTTTAAACACGAGGTAATTAACTGCACAGTGCAAACACAGTGTGCTAAAGAGCCATCCAAACCCACCGAGTTCTAGCTGATACAAAATACCTCACTGGAAATGCTGTTAGGAGGGGGTGGAGTTAATATTTTTCACCTGTTTTGCTAAATTATTGATACATGGTTAGTGCCAAATGGCAGAAGAGAAGGAGTCAAGCTGATGCCAACAGCATCCTATGCAAGGGTTTGGGTTTGTTTTTTTTTGGTGGGGGGGGTTTGGGATTTTTTCTTCCTAAGTGTATGACATGGAAGATGAGTAGCTTTTTTTGTATTTGCAAATTTTGGTTTATTTATTATTGCAATTTCACAACTGGCACAAAATATTAAAGACGTGTGATAGCTGATGGTCCAGCACGAGGGAAATGGAAATGGAGTTGGACACTAGTAGCCTTTTCACTCTCCAACATAAATTTGGGTGCATTTGTCTAAAAAATGGGGTGATTTGCAGTTTGAACAACGTGAAATGGAACTGTGTCCAAAGGCAGTGTGGATCCTGGATGCTGGTGGTTCCCAGGTTGCTAATCCAGCAGGGAAATGAAAGACCAAATTTCTCACTAACTTCAGCACTCACCAAGTTATATGTGCATATGACTGATAATATACAACCTGACTGGGAAGCACACAAATGCTCAAAGAAACAAGGAATAAACTAGTCAACAGTTTAAGAGCCATAAAATGGGCAACTATAGTGAGTAGGAAGTTGTGGGCAGATATTCCCTCCTGTTCCAACATTACTGGATATGCTGTGCTGTTTTAAAATGTTTAACCCAGCTTGTTTTACTGACAGGCTAAAAAACATTTACATGAGCAGCTCTGTTGGGAAGTATAAAGGGCTGCAACCTTTAGTGGGGTGATGATGCCGAACAGGTGGCACAGCATTGCTGGATAATACAATCTGATATCACAACTGTTTGTGAAGTGCACATTTCTTCACCACCACATAATCCTTCTCCTGAACTGCTCTTTAAACGTCAGCAAAGGCCTCTCATTAATTCAGCCTGACAGTTTGATTACAGCATTTTAGCAGCTTCTGAAAAATAATTCAGTTACTGAAGTGGTAAACTCGCTGTCTTGGCAGTGGAGATAAAGTGCTGCCTCCCAGCCGGAGAGGCAGAGCTAATCCTGGAATTCCTGATCCATCTCTGTGCATGGTCACCAGTAGTTTAAATGTGTGGCATTTCCTCTCCATGTAAATATGTGCAAAGTCCACTCTCTTGGTCAGTAAAATTCTTGAAATAATGTGCTTCCCACACGTGAAGATTTTTACATGTTGCAGACCTTCCTCTGAGGTTTCAAATCTGCTTTAGTTGAAAGAAATAGGAAGTTTTAATTATTGCCTGTGGAAGGAGCTGAGAGTCAGGAGTGAAGAATTTCAGTGTGGTGGGGTGGGATGGGGCTTCTGGAACTCAGAAGCGCATTTAGTGGGGAAGATATGGAAGTGGTGCTTCAGAGATGAACTGTAATTTCAGAACACTTGGAGATAATTTTAACAGCATGGCACTTGTTAATATTCCCATTTTGTGCTATGTGGAAATATGTAGCAAACAGTAACCTAGATCTGTAAGTCTGAGCATAAGTGTCTTCTGCTTGGGTTTTCTTGAATTTTTTTCCTACCTAAAATTGTGTCATTCTTCCTTCAAGATCACCTTAAGAGGGTCTACAATGCTCTCCATGCCTATCCATGACTGCCAATTGTCCTAAGCCTGTTTTTCACCCCGTCTTTCTTTGAATCTGCTCCTGCATTCAATGGTAATAAAAATTAGATATTTAAGCAGATGCAGAGGAAGTGTTAACTAAAATAGAGATATATTTTAGGCAGTGAAATAAATGTACAGTAAATTTCTTTAGTGTCAGTCCATAATTTGACCAGACAGCTGTAAATTCAGTGAGATGGGAGCGTCCAGAGCATTTTAATTTTCAACTGACTGACCTGTTTGGCTCAACACTTGAAAATAAGGTACTTGAAGGGTGAAAAAAATGCATTTAACATAGTACTACATTTTCTCCACAGACTCTGACACATCTCTGGAACCTGCAATGACAAGTCGGAACAGTAGCCATGCAGAGAAAACTGGTGAAATGTCCTCAAAGCAGTCAACACCAAAAGTGCAGGTCCAACGATCTGTCTCCCAAGAAACCATCACTATTCATTTCTCTGCATTTGGGAAGGAGGAAGAAGAGGAGGAAGAGGAGTTTAAGGAGTTTCTTGATGAGGAACTAGATGACCAAAGCATTGTAACAGCACTTGAAGCCAAGGAAGACCTCTGCTTTGAGCATCCCGGCCATGACCTTTCTGGTCCAGCTACCTCGCTTAACGTGGCCAACTCTGCATCACTGCTGTCCTCATCACCTGCAGTTCTGCCAACTGCAGAGACTGTGACGCTCTTGGATTCTCCTTCTGCATCCCGAGTGTTCAGTGCAGTGCCACTAGTCCTGTCTCCATCGTCACACTCATGTCACACAGTCGACGTATCAGGTGCATCTGTGGTGTATCAGGTGGGATCTGTGGAACAGAAATCCAGCCTGTCGTCTTCCCCGTCCTCATCCCCTTCCAGATCTACTGGGTCATCCACAATTTCTAGTTCCAAGCCTTTTAAGGGGTTAGTCAAGTCCCTTTCAACAGATGTGGAACCCAAAGAACCCACCCCACCGATGCGACATAGACAGTTAATGAAAACCTTGGTGAAATCTCTGTCTACAGACACTTCTAAACAAGAGTCTGAAGCTGTGTCTTACAGGCCACCTGACTCGAAACTGAACTTGCATCTGTTCAAACAGTTCACTCAACCTCGAGCTACAGGTGGTGATTCTAAAACTGCCCCCTCCTCTCCATTAACATCCCCCTCTGACACTCGTTCCTTTTTTAAAGTACCTGAAATGGAGGCTAAAATTGAAGATACTAAAAGACGCCTTTCTGAGGTAATGTATGAGCCTCTTCAGCTGCTCAGTAAAATAATGGGTGATGAAAGTAGTAGCCACAGGCCCAAAGCCTTATCTTCAAGTGCTTCAGAACTCTCAAACCTTTCCAGTTTGAATGGCCATTTGGAAAGCAATAACAACTACAGCATTAAGGAGGAGGAGTGTGACTCGGAAGGGGACATCTCTGGAGGTGACTCTGTGAGTAAAGGTGACCAGTCAAAGGCTGCTGAGGAACATGGAAAAGACACAGAGACCCCAAGCTCTCAGTCTTCAAGCACAAAGGACGTGAGTTCGAAACCTTCACTCGTACTTGAAAAATGTTTGTTGTCTGCACTAGTGAGCAGGGAGGATGAGGAGTTTTGTGAACTGTATTCTGAGGACTTTCTCTTGCTAGAGGATGAAAGCAAAACTGATAAACCTGCTGAAACCATGGTGGATCCCGAGATGACTGAGGAAACTGTCACTATGCTCAGTAGTGAGGATGAAAACAATCTGGATGTGCAACAGCCTAAACCACCGTTGAAAACTTTGTATGTCTTAACACTGTTAGTCTATGCTTATTTAATTATCCCTCTCCCTGGCTACTTAAGTGGACTCTTACTTGGAATGGCCCTTGGATTTATGGTAGCTGTCTGTGTGATTTGGCTTGTTACTCCACGCACTCATGAATATCTCAAATTTCATAAAAGTATGAAAAAGCGATGGAATGCAGGAGCTCTAGACATCAAAGAACCTGACATACTGAAGGTGAGGTCATGGCACTTTGTGTGTGTTTGTGTGCATTATTTTGGGTAGAAGGAATAAACTGGATTTATTCTGAGGGTGCAAATGAGCTGAATTATCCCCATTTGTAAATACAGTTTTGTTTTAGGGTTAGGTGGCTTTGGCAGGGGCACAAATGGTTTAGTATCTGAGAATATATAAGATTTCAATGTCTTTAAGGATTAGTAGAAAATGGAATTTCTTCAAAAGTAAAAGGGCAAATGGTTTTGCTGAGGGATTTGAAATTATCCATCTGAATTACTGAGAGCAAGTAGTGTCAGAGTTTAGTGTGTAAAAGAACGTTTGTTCTTGAAGCTCCATTTTGGGAGATGTATTTTGTTTCTGGGATATTTTACTGTCTAGGCAGTAATTTGTCTTGTCTGTTCAGTCTAAGCAGAGTCAGAAGCGTTGTGTTCAAGTGCAGCATAGAGAGTTGGAGAGCATATGGAATTCTCAAACATGAGCTAATTAGGATGGGAGGAGGAATTACAGCTCAGCAAAACATGTGCCTGAGAGCTGGGTTTTAAATGAAGCTCTTAGAAAATTTATTCTCCCTCCTCTTTGCCCTTCCCCATCTCCACTTCTTGTTCAGATCATGCAAGTTCAGATGTCTGGCTGTCTGTCCAGCTGTGATCCACCACTCAGCTCCTTCTGTGGCTTTGTGCTTGTTGTCCCTGCCCTGCCTCTCCTAACCTCCATCTGTGATGAATTAATGTTTTCCCTATTGCAGAATTCTGAGCAGTAAAGCACCTGCTGGTTTCTCATGTGCTCCAGAAGCATTTCAGAGTGATAGTGGTACAACCTTCACTTGATATTACTTGCTTAGCAGAGTATTTGTGTAAATATTAAATTGAGCTTTCTGAAGATGCATCTCCAACTGTGTAACAGCACAAAGGTTGCAGGAATTTAAATTCAGCCAGTATTGGGTATATGCTGTAGAATCTGTAGTGTTTTGATAGCTAGTCTCATGTATCTTTAGGTAAACTGAAAAGTTAGAGAAATGAAATACAAAATGCAACTTTTGCTGAATAGAGGCACCAGCTGCATGTCCAGCCCTTGTGCTCCCTTGGTGTTCCCTTTTTTCCTTGAATGATATGAGTTGTGGTCTTTATTTGCTTTATTTGCTGTTGTGGATGCAGACTGGGCACTCCTGGCTGCTCAGCTGATTTACCTGCTGCTCACGTGGACAAATCTTGACAAGCTTTCAGTTCTGTCCTTGTTAGTTGGGTGCTGAGACCCTGCATATAAATTTGCCTCAACCCTTGGAAGCTGGTAGAGAACCTGATGTTCATTACTGGCTGGTGTTCAGCTGTCTCTGAGGTGTTGCTGTTAGTCAGGAACCTTTAAACTGTATATTTTAATGCTTTTATCCAGGAGATACATTTTGTGAGAATGGCTGTAGGCAAGGAATGAACAGTGTGGAGAAATCTGTATGAATGGAGATTAATGTTTTTTATGACCTGACAAGTATATCTTGTGCTCATTAACACTCAAAGTAACTGTCTTCAGTATGTAAATGTTTCAGGATTTTAAAACCGAGCTCAGTGCCCATATTGTAGTGGAACATAATGTAATGTGATTTAGCAGATTGCAAGTTATTATTCCCACTTCATACAAGTATTTTCTATTTGCATCTGTCAAAATGAGTACTGGACAGTTTAGATCCTCTAAGAAAAGGAGGTAAAGACTTAATCTGTAGCAAAAGTCAGGCAAACATAGGAAAATGAAACTTGATGCTCTTGCATAAAGATGTTTTCTTCAGAACTTGTTGGTCTCGTATTCTGGCCTGGCCTGCTGTCATGCAGTTATGATAAATGCTCTGAGTAAGATCCCTTTATGGGGCTCAAGGAGTTGGGATTCTGCCAAACTGCTGTCAGGCTATTTTTGTCCAAGTATGTGTGCATTCTCCCCCATGTAAATAATGTTTGAGAAGTTTGCATTTCCCAAGTTTCAAAAACTAGTGGAAAATTCCCCTCAGCAATTGCTGAAATACTTGAACATTGTTATTGTCTCCCACAAAATTGTTCCTTGGCAATGGGGAAAAAATAAATGACCGTGGTGCTGGTTAGTGTGTGTTTCTGTAGAGTTCTGTACTTCCTTCATGTCTTTGGGTTTGGGGGAGAACATCCCCCCAACCAGAAAATGCACAAACCCCCTGCATCTTCACTGCATGTTTTCTTATCTGCTTATTCTTAGTCTTCAGTTCTCTGGTTTCCTTTTCCTTTTTTTTTTTTCCTCTCTGCCCACATATTTTTTTCTCCTTTAATCCATTAGTCTTTCCTAACATCCTTCTTGGCCTTTCAAGTGTGCATTCCCTTGTGTTGCGCTGGCTGATGCGAAAGGTTTTAAGTAACAGCTAAAAGGGGAATGATAGATTTACCCTTTCCATTAGAAAGAACTTTTAGGAGAACACAGTAGCAGTGCCTGCTGGAGAAATGGAGCTTTTTGAGCCACAGCTCTGCAGAAGGAGGAGGTTTTTTATCAGCAGCTGTTCCTGAGCACCGTCCAAGGAATTTGATGTTCGACAGTGGCCTCTGACAGATAAATGTGTTTTCCAGTAAAGGTGATGGTTGCTTCTCCCACCTCAGATCTTGTCTTTAGATTCCCTGTCAATAAAGCTCAAAAAGTTCATTACCTTTTTCCTCATTAATCAAGCAAAACACTATTGCAGTATTGTAAAATAGTGGTAACATGAGGGATACTAATAGAATTAGTGTGATTTGAGTGATGATTGTATCATTTCATAAGAATGAACTTTTATCTGTTAAAATCACTAAGAAGCTTCAGGGACAGTTTTCATTCAGATTTGGAATTGTGTTGTGGAAGTGGCTTTTGCTGATTCTTTTATTTATGTATTTGAGAATATCCTGAGTAATGATTTTAAGTTATTTTTCTTTGCAGACTCGGTCTGTGCCCCAAACCCTCTGGGTCCTTCCTAAGGAGCTTTTGCAGTTCCCCCCATCAGCAAGTGCTGACCTTTATAAATGGAGATCACAGGATCAGTGTAAATGCCCAGCAGCTGCAGAGCAGCACATGACTATGGTCATTGTCCTCCCTGAATTACTGAATTTCTTATTTTAACAACTTCACCAGCACAAAAAAGACCCATCATACAGTCACTCCTCTCCTACACAAGGAAATCCTTTGTTGTTTCAGTAGTTTGGGGGAAATTTATCTGTTGTTAGCACGTTATGGTAACATAACTTCTCTGTTTGGGTGCATTGCAAAAGATTTCCGTGGGCTGTGAATCTTTTGTTGCAGTTCGTTTTTGCAAAAAGAGGGGCAGAGGTGTTTCTGCTAAAGTTGTTCTTGAAATGCCGGAACTTTGGAATGACTTTTAGGGTTTCTTGGATAACCTTCTCAATGTTTTTTAAGCTAAATGAAACAACTTACAAAACTGAAGATCACTGACATGAGAGGGCACCTGGTGTCATTACCCCCTGTAACACTGTTAGATAAAATTTCTGCAGCTGCCACACATTTTCAGATTCAGTAACAGAGTGAAGAATCTTCACTTGGTGAAGTATTAACATTTCACTCTCAGCAGTGCAGTGTTTCTCTGTAACAAAATAACTTGAATGTCCAGTACAAAAAAGAAATTTCCTTAGAAATCAGGAAACTAAAATTTTACGTACAAGGAGAGTTTGTAGTAATGCAGTTTCTCTTTCATCCTGACTGTTGTCTGAAAATAAAACATTAAATATTTGAATCTAAACTTTTGTATCTCTTGGGTTTTGGGCTATGCCTCAAATCCATGAAGCAGCCAGTCTCCTCCTTGTGCAGAAATCACTGTGTAGGTTGCTGGTTTAGGCAGTAAATGTATTTATCTTCTGTTGGTTCTAGGTTTTATTCAGTACCTTTGACAGCCAGAAATCATTGTTGAAAGTCTTGGTGAGGTTCTCCAGTGGCTGATAACGTGGTGGTTGTGCTTGAGAAGCATTTGCACTTCTCTTGGGTGGCTGTGAACAGTGAGCAGGGGAGGTGGCACCACAGGCTGTGAGGATTGTGAGTTTGGCAGGTTGTACAGCTAATCCACTTGTTTGAAGAGGAAAGCCCGGGCACATGGTAGGGATCAGAAAAGCAGGAGGGATTATTACTCCTTACTATGGCACATGGCACTTGAGAGAATGATGTGTTGGAAAACTCCAGCCAGTTCCATGTCAAGCAGGGCATCAAAGGAACATCAGGTTTCGGGTACCACACGTACCCCAAAGTTTCCAGCCCTCCTCCTGAATAACATCACAGCTTATTGGAGTTAGGAAAAGGGCTCGTGGCTAAGCTTCCTACAGAGATCCACTTTCCAAGGAGCCCTTTCTCCCTGTGCCAGCTGGTGTGGTGTTTGCCTGAACTGCCTTGCAGAAAGGAGGCAATAAACTTCTGAGGCAGCAAACGTCCATCTGTGCATTTGCCCATCTGCAGACTCCAGCCTGCGGTGTCTGAGCTAGAAATAGCTCGGAGTTCTGATCTGGGGGCAGGTGGGAGTTGCTCCAGAGATCTGGGGGCCATATGGATATTCCAGCTCCATACAGAGTGAACGGCTCGTGAGGGCTTTGGGCAACTCATGTGATGTCCTTGTGCTTCAGTAAGTCCAGCTGGAGTTCCTGGCTGAAAATTAATTGCTGTCTGCTCAAAGATGTCTTGGCTTAATAATTTCTAGGAAGGAGATGGGATGTGCTCAAAAATGCATCGTCCCTGCTGTGCAGAGCTTGGTGACTTATAGAAACCTGTGCCTTGTGCATTCTGCTTCCTGTACGGTAGTGGTATGGAACCCAGTGTAAGCAAAAACCCCAAACATAAAGCTGCTTCAAAGAGTATGCCCTGATTTCTGTTAATAGAAGAGGTAATCTGCTTTGGAGCTGAGCAAAGATGAATGACTTAATCTTTCCTGAACATAAAAGAAATGCTAATTTATCTAGGTTTTTCAGGATTTGTAGTGAAACTGGAGCTAGATGGTGGAGTAAGCAAAACACAGATAGCACTGTTACTATGGCACCTAAGAAAGTGTGTGCTGTCTGCTGTAAGGAATTGTGGCACTGAAGAAAATGAGCATTCAAGTAGATTTTACATTTCTGTGGGTGGGTGGAAACTTTAATAATTCGAAATGTGGCAGTAATTTCTGGGTTTTGCATAAGATAGTTACAACTTATTGTTTTGAGGAATACTGGGGTGCTCATTCTGCTCTCCCCACTTTCCCCACTGTGCTCAACCAGGTGTTGGTAAAGGTGCCATTTTACTCGCTGTTGACATTGATGAATGTTGAGTGTGCTGAATTTAAGGTTCTGATGTGCAGGTGGAAGCAATTATCAAAGTATGTTGTGTGGCAGGTTAGGAGAAGGGAAACTTCTCTCCCTTGAATGACTGTTGTAGTTTGTCTTCTGCCCCATTTATCACCTTACATTTCTGTAATCAGATGTCAGAGACAGGAGTAACATCGTGGTCAGAGCCAGCACTTACAGGCCTGTTCCAGCAGGGCTGGCTGGTTTGTTTGCTCTTTCTTTCATTGCACAGAAATTAATTGAATTTAATCCACGTGTAAGACTCCTGTGTTGTAGCGGAGCCATTACACAACATGTTAAAGGATCTCCAACAGTGATGGTGCATGAAAGCAAACTCCATTGTGGTCTTCCACTGAGCCCTTAATTGTGGGTGATTGAAATGTCAGAGCTGCCTGTAAGCAGACAGTTTGCTCTGCCTTGGCTGTTGGTGATTAGGATGTCTGTGCTTGCTGGGAGCTGCACAACCCTCCTGTGCCTGCCTGGTGGCTCTTCCCAGCATCCTGCACGTCCCACCATGATTCTTGGGGATGAGGTGAGAGCACCCTGTGCTACATATACAAAACAACTGTGTGTTTGAGACACCGTCCTCATCTCATGCTCTGTCAGGTCGGTGCCACCTCATCTGGGGCATTTACTGCCTCCTTCTGTTCCTGCAGTAAGTGAAAGAACTTCGGCAAAAGCTTGGATAAGATTTAAAACCTTTATGTGCATGCTGTCCTTGGTTTTCCAACAGCTTAAAAGCTTGTTAACAAGTGTTTTCTTCTCTAGGGATGGATGAATGAAATTTATAATTATGATCCAGAAACATACCATGCCACGTTGACTCACTCCGTGTACGTCAGGCTCGAAGGAAGCACCTTACGACTCTCCAAACCCAATAAAAACATTTCTAGAAGAGCTCTGTACAATGAGCCAAAGCCTGACGTCACCTATGTCAGCCAGAAGATTTATGAACTGACAGAAAGCAGGGTGAGTGTGTCTTATTTATACCTGATTTTAGCAAAGAACACTTTGCAACCTCTTTTTAACCTTGAAATTTTTTTTCCGCTCCTCTATTTTCATGTTCTGTTGTTATGTAAACAAAACTGTTGTGGTGACTAACTTGCAAAAGGTTGTGCTGGGGAGGAAGATGGAGCAGGATTTAGAAAAAAACCCCATATTTACACAATAAGGGAAAAACTTGGTTTTTCTCTGTCAGTTCAGAGCAGAAGGTAACTCATGGGAGCTCAGAGTCTCGTTCCCCACACACGAGATGACTGCAGGACTATTCTGAGGGTTACACCAAAATTCATCATCTTTGGTGGTTGTCTCTATCCCAAGGCAGCTCAGACAACATTTACTTTTCACTCAGTGGGGGAACATACATTGTATGGGAATGTGAAAGGGGAGAGCAAGAGGTGGCTGGAAAGCCATGACTTGCTGTAGGTACCCCCTGTCCAGGGAAGGAGATGGGGATTTTTGCAGTTGGAACATCAACAGTAATGCTGGGGCAGTTTCACTACGTGTTGTTTGCCTCCCTCAAATCTGTGAAGAGTTGCCACATGAAGTTGATTCCATTGGCATTGTATTAAGTAATACATCAATAGCTCATTATTAGCAGAATGGATTTTCTTAATGTGCTGCATCAGTCGAGGGCCTTGGCAGTGCAGATGGGAGAGCAAATCAAGCTTCAGTTGAGTGTGGAAGGGAAAGGGACAGAGGGACCGTGGTGACAGTGAGGAAAACCTCCCTCCATTCCCTTGAGTCCATATGGGAAAGGACTCCTAATGCTCAATTTCATGAGATGGGCCTGAAAAGTTGAGTTTAAAACACGGTTTAGACTCGCATTATCTACCCTGTGGTCACAGAAACAAGGTTCTTGGTTTTTCTGTTTTTTCTCTGTATCTATGAGAATAAGATCTCAATTAAAACAGAGTTTCTAATCCACATGATTGTATAAGCTGCTCAAATGGCCTTTGTTTTAATTCCAAGGCCATGGCTGTCACCAAAGACCTGGTGATAGCAGTGGTTGGACATCCACCAGCAATGCTGAGTCAGTTAAACCCAGCAGATCCAGTGTGGGATCTGTATCTCTTGCGTTCCTGTGTGAGTATCAAAACATAGAGGATACAACTGAAAAAAAAAAAGTTAATTTAACCCTTTCATTTATCCTTCAGATTTCCCTGGTTCCCAAGAGTCTGGCACGGAAACGAATTTGGAATAAGAAATACCCGATTTGTATTGAACTCGCTAAACAGGAGGATTTCATGGCTAAGGCCCAGGCTGAGAAGGAGAACGCAGAGGAAAAGTCATCTGCTGAAAAAGTGGACTCAAACAGCGAAGAATCCAAGAAACCTCAGGATGGGGCAAAGTGCAGTAGCCAAAAGGATCAAGTGCTTTATCTCTTTGGGAGGACAGGGAGGGAGAAGGAGGAGTGGTTCCGCAGGTTCCTCCTCGCCTCGAGGCTGAGGGCTGAAGCGAAGAAGCCCCCGAGTCTGTGTACGAGCAAGTCAGGTACTGACATTTTGTGTTCTGGTATAAGAGTCTGTTAAAAGAAACAACCCAAACTTCTGTTTTGGTGAACCACAGTGATCTTTACAGGCAAGTAATACCCAGGGCACTCCTCTGCTCCTTATCTTGGCCTCTCATTCCCACCTTCCCACTCTGCCTTTTCCTCTCTTGGCTGTATACTTGGCTGTATGCCTTCAACTGTTACTATTTTTAAACTATTTTATATGAATGCACTATTTTTCAGTGACTATAATAACTCCTGTAGTATTTGTAAGGATGAATTGTTCAAACTACTTTTTTCTCATCAACATTTGCACTATTAGACTCATCTCTTACTACCCATCTTTCTTCCTCCATCCTTCCTTCCACTCTAATCTCCTGTAAATGATAAAGAGCTTTCTCATGGATTAGTGTCACAAGAAAACACATTTTTCTGTTTACTAAGTCCTGCACTAATATATCTATCTATCTGAATATATATATCTAAACCACCAAATGTGTTAGTCTGTAGTATTGATCAAATGTTTGAAAAATTAATTTAATAGCGTCCTCTGATATAATTTTAAACCTGAATGACTCATACTTTTCTGTCTTTCTTCTCTGAGAAGCTTTTAAAAAATTAGTTAACGTCATTATTTCTGACATATAACTTCTTGAAATGCAAATGCAAAATTAAGGGCTAATTAAAATTCTAATAGTTACATGCTTTTGATAGTACTTTTAATTGTAACAGCCTATAATTAGATTAGGAAAAAAAAGTTTAGTCATAGGTACATTTTAATCACCTGACTTTTATTTTAGGCATTCCCAGCAGGGCTGTTGGGAATTCTGCCATGTGTTGTACATATGTGAGTGTCCATATTTAAATATGCTATTGATCAGCTGACTCCTCCAGTCCCACATCCTGCTGAGTGCTGAATCATCCCAAGGATTGGCTCATTTGGGTTTAGGACCACCTGAGCACACAGGAGTGGGATTTACTTTGAGCCTTCAAAATGAGAAAGCACTGCGCTGAATGTTGGGGCTTTTTTCAGAATAAATTATATCTGCAAAACAACTTAATTCCTTTAGTGTTTGATCCCACATTCTGCTATATGGCTGTCAGATTTATTCTCTGTTAAATGGGTATTATTCCTTTTAATTTAGGGATCCTGGCAGGACACAGCAGAGCTGACAGTCAGCCCGGAGCTCTCACGCACAGCCGGAGCAGCAGCAAGGGGAATGCAGAGGAGATCACAGCCCAGCCCAAGCACAAGGACCTGGCTGGCAACGTGAGGCAGAAAATGCTCTTGGACTACAACATTTATATGGCAAAGTGTGTTCCACAGGAAAAGAAAAGCCCTTCAGGTAGCCCAGTGCTCAGTGCAGACAGCAGCCCTACAGCTGTGAAAAAGGTAATGCTTGTCCTCCAGAGGATACACCAGTAACAATGTCTGCAGCTCCTACTAATCCCTTGGCCTCCTGGACTGCAGTTGAGTCACTCTCAGTAAACAGAACCTTAATATTCAGTACAACACTCTTAATAAATGGGTCCTTAATGTTAACTCTGATAACCATTCATTTAAAAATGTAATTCCTCTCGTGCATCTTGGTTTCCAGACTTTCATACAGTGTCCAGAAAGGAGCAGGAGGCTGTGGCATAGCATGCAAACACAACTTGTGGTCACCCAGGAAAGCAGATATTCTAGCCCCCAACAGCCCCTGAAGCAGTGAGGAATTCTCTGCTGGATGTGGCACGTGTCAGAAACCTTTCTATAAATAGATGAGCAGAGCTGGCAGGAAAACCTGCGTCACAGCAGAACCTCCTCACCCAGCAGTTCTGGCAGCAGGATGCTGCAGCCTTGGGGAGCAGGCACTGCCAAGAAATGATGTTCAGAACTGTAGCATCTACCTGCCTGTCTTAGAAAGCACTGCTTTTCTGCTGGCTTTGGGAGCTCTGCCTGGAATAATGAAGGTGGTGAATTCCTCTGTCGCTGCAGGCACTTGAGACATTTAATTTGTTGTGTTTCCTTCATGGAAACCTCCTGGTTTTAATGCAATACATGGTAGTGTGTGTACACACCCAGAGTTATTTCAGCTGCCTTTGCTTCTTTGTGTGTAGGCAGTGATGCAGCATCTGAATGTATAATATTATAATATTTCCAGGTGTTTCGAGATGGTTCTCAAGTAAACCAAGACATAATCCTCTTGGATTGTAAACAAAACCTTTAATGCAGCAGAGGGAACAATAGTTTCCTGAATCCTGTTTACAAACATTGAAAGGCAGAGTGTGTTTCCCTGCACTGTGTTTGTTTATTGTCTGTTTGTGGTGTTTCTGAACTGGATTTAAGGATGTAAGATGGGGTCTTGCTTTCCAATTTTTTGATAAATCAAAGGAAGAGTAGAGATCTGACTGGGAAGAGAGAGTATCTCTGCTGCAGACACATTTATAAGTCTGCCCGCTCTGGGTTTATCTGCTTTTTCTGCCAGGGGTTAAATTACATACAGCTTTCTCATTTCACTGCCAGAGGTCAATCTATATCTGTGTGGTCTCGTTCCCTCTGCTGCATGTCAGGATGATGACAGGCCCGTGGCAGCACAGCTGATGTGTTTGTAAAGCTGCTCTCTCTGCTGAGCATTTGTGTTCTGAGCTGACCTGGGCTCCAACACTGAACTTCCAGTGTAAAACAGGCCTTTTCTGTCCTTAGTTTATAGAATTTATAGGGCTCAATAACTTGCTCTGTGTTTTCCAGTTGCCGGATGCCCATGAGGAAGCTGAAGAGGAAGAACAGGAGGCCTGGGTGAATGCTCTGCTTGGAAGAATATTTTGGGATTTTTTAGGAGAAAAGTATTGGTCTGATCTAGTGTCAAAGAAGATCCAAATGAAGTTAAGCAAAATAAAGGTACCTAATCTGGAGACTTGCCCTACACACTCCTTGTGAGAAATGAAACAAACAGTCTTTGAGTTTTAAAACAGTACAAGAAAGACTTACTTCACACTTACATGTAAAAGACAAGTAAATAAATGTGATGCAGAATTCCAGTTCAGTCTCACATGGATCTCAACACGTTAACTTGGCTGCTTCACTTTGAAATGAGCTACAGCTGGATGAACTATTTGTGTCTGTCTGGGTTTTATGTGAAAAGTAGAAGTATTACTGTATGTACTTCAGGGATAAATAGAACTGCTTATAAAAGATGAAACTTGCTTTGGGAAATAGGAGATTGCTTTTAAGGTGGAGGAGACGAGGGAACCACAGTTCCAGTGTGTTCCTGTGTCCCTCAGACATGCACTGCTTGCAGGACAGGCCAGTGGCAGTAAGAGTCATGGGAAGAGCTGTGTGTGGAGTGCCAGGATGCAGCTTCCATGAGCTGCACGAGCTCAGAAGGTGCTTTTGAGTGACTCCTGTGCCTTCCCCTTGCATTCTGTAACCTTTCTGAGCAGCAGAAGGTAATCACAGGCCTGTTCAGCTCCTGGTACTTGGGGAGGAGTTTGCCTGTTCCTAAAGGCAAAGGAAGATGTTTTCTTGCTGACAAAAGCTCTGGAATGTAGCTGCCAGCACCAGCTGTGAGACAGTGTTGCTTGTGCTTTAGGAACTGAGCAGTAACCCAATTCTGCCCTGTTCCCACAGTTGTGACAGTAGAAGACCTAAACACCTCAGTGGAAACATTTTCAGTGGAAAGACTGGAAATGGATGTATTTTAATGGGTTAAAGAACTGTCTGTTCACAGGAGATAGATTTCCCATGAATTAGAAATTTAAGTAAATAACTACCCAAAGCATTATGATTCTGTGCCTCTGTTATTCCAAGACTGTGATACAGATTTACAAGTCAATGTGCTGGGAAAGAATTTGTCAAAAATAAAAAGTGGTCGAGACGTTGATACAACTGCAACGATAAAATACGTGCCTGAATTTAAAATTCAAAGAAGTCTTTGTTTTTTATTCACAGTGAAATAGGATTTACACTTCTTTCTGGAGCTTTTTACATGCTTTGACTAAAAAGCATGCTGGAGGTTTAAGGTCAGCATCCAAACTTCAGTATAGTTTTAAAAACATTCCAAGTTCAGATGCTGAATCTCTCCCTAAATTATTTTGAAACTGATAACTGTGAAATTCTAGAATTGGAAAAAATATGTGCAGTTATGTGTGTTCTTTCACTGGTAGCACTTCAGCTCAGTCCATTCCTTTAAGTTTTCCTTTCCTCTCTCAGGAAATGAATGTTTGGTTCCATAACATGTATTTGATTTTTGATCTCCTGTCCTTTCAGCTGCCCTACTTCATGAATGAGCTGACTCTGACTGAGCTGGACATGGGGATAGCAGTGCCCAAGATCCTTCAGGCCTTCAAACCTTCTATTGATCACAGAGGTAAAATACAAGCTTCCTTTTCTGGTTTTGCTAGATTCCTGCCTTTTTACCTGTGGAGAACAGGATTTTTGTCTGGTTATCTTGTGGATGTTTTAATCAGAGGAAGATACATTTAATAAGAGCTGAGGAGATACTGAGGGGTGTCTGTGTGAGGCTTGGTCTAAAGTAATAGTTATGGAAGTGTGATCATGTCTTTCCATAGGCAGTAATTACTAAACTAAACTAAAATTTGCATGCAACAGAGATGCTGACACATATCTGATCCTCTACCATGGACTGCAGAGAGCCTTGCACATCTCCTTGAGACAGATCTGATTCTGTACCATAGCACAAAACAGGTTTGGCTCCCAAAGAGAAGTTCTTCTGTTCTGAAAACAGGGATTCAGAAAATATAATAACTTGGAAAACAAAAATACAGTGTTGCTTTGAAAATAGACTTCAAAACACAGCATCATTTTATGTCCTTACTATTAAATATAGATTTTTTTTTTAAAGCTGAATCACTTTCATACTGCTGCTTTATGAATCATAACTGTTTGTTTTCTGTTCTTTCTGGTTTGCATATGGTCACAGGAGTATATTTGAGGATCCTCATGTCACTTAAGTAGTCTCACAAGACAGAAAAACTTGGGATAATACTTTTTAGCTTTATCTTTTCCACATACTGAGGAGAGCTAGATGCTGTCTTTTCTCTAAGACATAATCAGAGCAGTTTTTAATTTTAAATTGTGTCTGATTTTCTCCACTCAAGGTGCAGAAATTTCTAATTGGCATAAAGGGAAATACTTCCTTGGAGTACCTGTTGTGGTGCAGCTGTGGATTGCATGGCAAGCAGCTTATTTTTGTTTTAAACTGCTCTCAGCTCTTAGGTGAAGTTACCAAGATAATTTCTAAATGGGACTAAAACCATTAATTGGTAGTGAGATAGTAAGGGTTTAATGAAGATACTTGGTACAAGTGCTAAAATGTTCTGGAGAGGCTCTAAATTACAGGCCAGCAATGAGCCAAACTTCAGGTCTCAGTAGCATATTTGGAACAATAACAAACATGGACAGAGCAAAGTTTGAGTAGATAATGAGCTCTGTGCCACTCAGATCACTGACTGAAAGCAGGAGGTGAGTGAGCACTAACCTTTCCCTCATAAAACTGAGAACAAAACAGACTTTGGGGAATTACTAAAATCCTCTTGGCCATACATAACATTAGTTATGTACCCAAATGCTATTGTTTGCCCTTATCTCCTTGAGACGTGCAAGTCTTTGGGGAAAGGCTTTATCTATAAAACATGGGGCACTTTGCTCTCAACTTCTGGAAAGTGTGTTTGCCACTGAGCTTTATAAACAAAGCGTGTTTGAAAAGAGCAAAGTGTTTTTTGTTGTCACAAGGAAGAAAATGTGTCTTTTTAAGAGAAATGAAAACTGAATAGATGGAATAAGCTGGAGTGCAATCAGTATTTAGGGAACTAACACATATTGCTGCTGCTTGTCATATGCTCCCTGCGTGGGACAGCAGGTTCTCCAAGTTCTGATGAAATCCTCCTGTGTTCCCAGCAGCAAAGTGACTTCACTGTTGGTACAAATTTTATTTTGTGTTACAGAACAAAAAACATTTTAAACTTGTTACATTTGTGATGCTTGCCAAGTGGTTTCATGGTTTCTTTTTAACATTTCTTGAATTCCTTTCTCTGTTCTCATAACTTCAGTTGTAACCAAAGGCTGGAATTCTAAGTCATGAGATGAGATTTAGGAGACTTGGCTTCCATTAACTGCTGAAACAGCAATGAGATCAATTAACTCCTTCAGTGTGTTGTTCACTTAAACTGTGACAAGGAAGCATTTCTGGGAGAATTGCTAATCCTTGTAACTTCTTCCACCCTGTTGGATGACATGTGAACTCTTAGTTTGTAAGAGCTTGCAGTGAATAATTACTGAAATAACTTGTTGCGTAATTATACTTAAAAAGACTTAAATAAGGGTATGATAATTGGAAATGCTTGTTCTCATAAGGATAAATGCATTTGTTGGTAAGTTGACCTATGATAAACCACTTGGTTTATTGGGGAATATGGGGGGGAAAAAGCCCTAAAATTTCAGGGCAGTATCCAGAATGAACATTTCTAAGGTTTTTGGGTTTTTTAAGTGTTTGAGACATTCAGTCATTTGAGGTATTTTTGAGCCTTTTGTGAGGCTTTAAAATGCAGTTACTAATTGTGAAGTGCTTTGTTACATCCAGAAGTTTTTTTTTAACCCGTGCTTGATTACAAGGAAAATATTTTTTATTATATGTCTTCTCTAAGTAACTCCATTTGTTAGCAGGCAATGTTAGAAAAAAAATCTTGTTTGTGTTAATACAGTCCTATTTGGGTGACAGCATATGCTGTAGCATTACTGTAATTCTCTCAAGGCTAGGGAACCAGAAAATTCTGAATAAATTGTACCATCTGCCCAATTCTTCACTCCCTCTCCCTCCTCTCCCTCCCCTTTTCCCTCTGGAAAATGCGTATGAATGTTTTCTGGCCAGAAGGAATTTTCCCTCTCAGTAATGGCATCCTTTGCTTAATTTGATCTACTGTTAAAACAACATTGATGATTGAATTGTGCCGACTCATTGATTAGCTGGTTTTCCTTGTTTCTCATGATCTTACTGCTGCTTTCTCATTGTAAAGAGGAAAAATATATATATAAGCTTGTGTTTGAGTTGTTGTGTTTGGTTTTAGAACAGTGTTAGAAACACTGTGTGAGGGAAAAGAGTGATTTGGGTTAGTAAAGCACCAGCTTACCTTCATCCTGCTTCCAGCATGGAACATCACAGGGGGTCAGTGGCCTGGCCTTTGGGAGCTGCCTGTATTTCTGTAAACAGAAACAGTGGGATTAGGGACAGTACTGTTTTTCTGACATGTTTTTGCAGAAAACAGTAGTTCTTTAACTAATAAAATGTGACTTTTACAGATGAATCAAACCCAAAGAGTAATTTTCATTAATTGCTTCTGAATAAGTAAATGAAAGTAGAAGGTGTCAGTGGTTGATGTGCCAGGTACTGGTTTTGTGCAGCTGCAATGTCTGGAAAAGGAAGATGTATAATCTGTGTTTATTGGCATCTGATTTCTAGCATCTGAATCACAAATACCTACAGCTTTGTTTAGTCCATGGGGCTGCAGGGGGTCACTCAAGAGGCAGGACCTAATCTTGCAGCTATTCCCAAGACAATTCTTTTGGTGAATATTCTGCACAACAATAAGATTTAGTGTAATGCTGCAGGTCTAGAGTTGTCAAAGTAATGACCCTGTTTGCTGTGAGTAATGAAAGAATGCCTGTAGCTCAGTTACTGAGGGAACCTTGTCATACTCCTTCAATCCACCATTGGCAAAACAGGAGTCAGCAGGTTGTGATGTGACACAAGCAATATTGCTCTGGGATTTCAAGTTGTGCTTTGTTTGGACAGCGTCAGTAGAGGAGTGTCCCCATTACTGTATGGCTTGGAGCAATGCTGTAAATAGTTTTGAAGTGAATCCCTAATTGTATTCTGTGTTCTTTATCTCATTTCAGATCTCTTTAGAAGTTTAGGTGTGTGTAAATCACGCTCCTTCTTTTTAGATTGCTGTTTTTCAGGATGGCTTTGATTTACATCTGACTTTGTTCCATGAGCTTAATATGAAGAGAAAGCTTGCTTTGTGATTGTTCTTAAAGTGACATCTTTGTGTTGTTTATTTTAGGACTGTGGGTTGATTTGGAAATGTCCTACAATGGATCTTTTCTAATGACCCTGGAGACCAAGATGAACTTGACCAAACTTGGTAAAGAGCCTCTTGGTGAAGCCCTTAAAGTTGGTGAGATCGGCAGAGAAGGGTAAGGGATGGCAGTGATGGAATCAAGCTGGAGCTTTCATTGTGAAAAAGTGGGATTTTTCCTTGTGTCTGAGCAGCTCTGGCTCTGCAATAGATTGAGAGGAGCTGGGGGGGTTTCATACACATGAGCGCTGAACGTGGCCTTTCTGTGCAGCTTTAATGTTTGATTGCACCATTGATAATCATCTTAATAAAAGGCTTTTGTGATACAATTTTTTTTTATATATTTTAGTAGGATTTTAAATGTGCAGCAACTAAAATTTAGGTTTGTCTTAGGCTTGATTTGGGGTCTTAAACAGTAAAGCTTGAATACTGGAGATACACACATGCAGAAATGGAGGTAGACGTGTAACAGGCTACTACAGCATGGCACAGCTACAGCTGTAAACCATGGAGGAGTAAACAATGGGGAAGGTAAATAGGCTGTAATTGTTAAGAAGAGACTTTTTCAATAGTTTTATTGCACCATGGGTGTAATCACACCACTGCTTTAGTCTCTATTTTTCCTCATAGCCCACTTCTGTTTCCCTGCTATATCTAAGTGAAATGCCTTATGCAGATAAACTAGTTAAAAACCACTATAGAGTAACTTACCTCTGTTGTATTTGTGCCTTCCCTCTCATTTTTGTGATGTTGTTGGAATTTTTGAGTGTCATCAATCTGTCCATTTGTATTAACCTGGTGAGTGACACCTGTCAGATATCCCTCCCATCAGCTGTGGAGTGTTCATTCTTTTTGTACTGTGTTCTCTTTGTACTTAAGAAATCTGCAGTCCCTGGACAGTAGGTGGTCTCTGATTTAGTGTGCACAAATCAAGAAAATAGTCTCTAAATCTGGCCATTTGTTTAGCTATGAATAAAATGTTGTGGTCTTTCACAATGAAGATACTGGATGCTTTGTATGTTCATGTCATAGCTCTGACCATTTATTCTGAGATATCTTGAGGTAATACTTACAGCAGCCCTATATTTCAATGCAGTCATGACAAGAAAATAAATGTGAAAAAGAACTAATGGCTGAATGATCTCATACACTGGTGATAGAAATTCAGAGGATTTAAAATCGACCCAGATTCCCATTGTCACTGCTTGAAGTAAATATTTCTGAATTTACATCAGTGTAAGTGGTAGGTGCAAATTTTTCAAAATCCCTTTAATCCCACCCCCCCAAAAACGGGGGATGGATAAGGAAATGTCTATACAAATCAAATTCTTGCTTTCCTTCCCCCATGCCTTCAGGATTTTCTTTGTGTATTTTCATATCTGCTCAGTGCAGAAATGGCCTCAGAAATAATTAGTGAACGCATTGATTTCATATTTAAAAACCAGTTTGCTGCTGGCTGAGCAATGGGCCCCCAGCAAGGCAGATGGAAGTGCCTGTAGCCAAGCAACCGATTGCTTGGAGGTATCAGCATTAACAGCTCTGCTCCCTGCTCGGGGCTGGGATGTTTCAAACCTCAGGGCCAGGTACCAGCTTTACATAAAGAGCAGCCTAATGTATTCTAGTTTAAATGAGGGGTTTTTTGATTGATTTTTTTCCCTTCAATACAATGGATATTATAAAAAAATAAGCAAAGACTGAGAAGTACAGAACAGTTTGATTCTCATCCGTGCTTTCCATTGTGTTAGCTAATTTTAATTTTACTGCCTTTTTTAATTATCAGTTGGCAGTTGCTGTGACAAACTGTTCTGCATGTGTTTGCATCCATGATCATGTTGTAAGTGAGGAATGTTGGTTGCTGACACTCATTTGTGTCCCTCAAGAGCCCAGATCAAACCATCTCTTGAGAGGCAGTAACCACAAACTGGTGTAAGAGAGGCACCCAAGAGGGAGGGGGGAAACAACTCTGGGCTTTAACTGTCCATGGATGTTGTCAGTGTAAAGGGATACAAACGGGTCTGTGTTGCACTTACTGTGTGAAACAGAAGTGAGATGTCCTGAGATAAGTTTGATAATGTCCTCTCAAGAAAACAGAACTCTCAAAGAGGGTGGGAAACTATTTAATTGCCAATTTCCTAAAATTAATACAGCACAAGGTTCTACCATACAGAAGATGAGGCAAAGTCAGCAGGTTAACCCAAATTTACCACAGCTTCTCACCCCATCAGTCGTTTTGGCTGTGTTGGACCACATAAAAACAAGCTGACAAATAGCAATTCATAAAATATTGTGCAATCTGCACGGGAACAATACTGTAGCTCCAAAGTGGGTTTATTCTGCCAATGTTTGTGTCGTATAAATGGTCCATTGTATGCAGAGAGCCCCTGAAATCTCACTCAAGCTTATTTATTGTTGCTTTGTTTAATGCGAGGAAATCCTGAGGTCTGAGCTGGTCAGTGCTTGTGAGGCACCTTTAACTAGGAAATCAAACACCTTGTTTAAGGTGACACCTTTGAGAGCCCTGAGAATGCTCTGGGCATGCTTTGAGCTGGGTGGTACAACCTGCACAGGAAAGTGAAGCGAGGTCACACCCTGGTAGAAAACGTGTAGTTTGAGTCTGACCTAAAAACGTGATTTTCTCCCTGAGAACCAGCTCCAGGGTTGCTATCTGGGCCAGTGACAGGAACCATCCACCACCCCCCCCGTCCCCAGGGAGGTGGCTCAGTTTGGTGTGTGCCTTCACTCTGCAGGTACAAAATACAGCTCTGGGTAAGAAGAGGTTTGCAGTTCTGATTCCATACCCTGGCTAGGAAATTCTGCAGTGTAGAGAGGTCCTGGGGTTACTCTCCAGTTGGGAAGGAGTCCTGTGCACTGAGAGCTGCATTGAGCTGTCCTTTTTCATTAGGACTTCATGCAGCAACCACCAGTTTGTTCTGTGTACAGAATATCAGGCAGTAGCCTCAGTCCATGCCCTGTGTGAGGTTATTAAATGCTTCAAATACACTTCCAAGAACACACACACACACAAAGAAAGAAGACACAGCTATGAACTGTATTCTGAACATGCTGTAGAGAATTACAGTGCTGGGTATAGTCCCCAGGGCTAAAGCCATATGCTTTTGAAGCTTGTGTTGTGTAACTGTTTTAGGCTCTTGCTTTCAGTAGAGATCTGTTCACACTGAAGTGTATCCACTGTATCCTTCCCTCATTTTAATCCGTTTAAAAGATTTGAAATTTTTCCTGTGATTGTACCTAAATTCTTCCACAGGTTTAAGTCTAGGAATTAGTTACTACCGGGTGGTATTTTGTACCCTAAGAGCTGCCCTTGTTTGATTTTATTACTTTACTTTTCCCCCATGATATTCAAAGGTTGTTTTACCTGTCCAGCCTCCGTTTTGCTCAACCCACGGAAAGCCACGAGCAGCAGCAGAGATGCTTTCAATTCGAAATTGAAATTTTTTTTCCTAATTATTTTTTTCAAATAATAATTATTTCGAATAATCTCCACATTTGATTTGAATATGCAAAACAGCCACCACCCTGCCAACCTCTTTCATGCAGGATTATCTTCCGCTGGGGAAAACAGCTTTTCTGGTTTGAATGTAGTTCTGCCAGCCTGGCTTCAGAGTGGTTTTGGTTTTGTTCTTTCAGATAGTGCTTACAAAAAAGAGGAGGGGATACTTCAGAGTCATGTAATGTCAGCCAAAGCTGTACAGGATGAAAAGCTATTTCAGGATATTACATTTGACCTGGGAATTGCATTGTTTCAGTTTCAGGCCAAGGGCGTATTGTCTTGCAGACAGCGATGAGGAATCCTCCAGCGCCGGCTCTTCAGAGGAAGATGATGCTCCTGAGCTGGCAGGAGAGAAGCAGGTGACTCCAGGAGCAGAAGGGTGAGCTCTTTAATCCTTCCCTCCCCCACAGACCCAATACCTTGCTCAGTCCTGGAGTACTCTGTGCCCCACAGAGTGTGAGGATATCCTGGCAGGGAAGCAAACACAACTGCAGAGCAAAGAGCAGCAGTGGAGCCACGTGCTGCCAGCAAAGGGAGCTGCTGTGCCGGGTGCTGTGCTGTGCTGGGAGCACTGCTCACTGCCCAGGGACCTGTCCTGGGAGCACTGCTCACTGCCCAGGGACCTGTCCTGGGAGCACTGCTCACTGCCCAGGGACCTGTGCTGGGAGCACTGCTCACTGCCCAGGGACCTGTCCTGAGCTCCACTGGCCACCTCCCAGGCTCTTCGCCATGAGAGCCAAGTCACGGGGCCAGAGCACCTCTGGGGACCTTCCCCAGCATGTCCTGCCTGGTAGCAGAGCCAGGAACAGGATTTTGTGTGTGAACTCGAAACACTGTATGCAGTGTTACACCCATGCTGATCCTGCTGATCCATATTTCCAGTGTGGTCTTTTCTTAAAGGAAACAACTGTTCTCAAGCCTCGCTTTCTTCTCAGTTTTGTGTTGCTGGCTTTTTTCTTGGTTTTTGGTGGGGTTTTTTGGTTGGGTTTTTTTTTTTATTTCTGGAGCTCTGTGAGTGTCTGGGCTGTGCAATACTGCCCTCTGATGCTGTGCACGAGTTCCAGAGGATGTTTCCCAACATCAGCGTTGCCACGTCATTCCTTGTTTTGGCTGCTGTTCTGATTTTTGGCTTTCTGCATCTGATTGCAATTGTGCTATGCAGTGAGAAAGCTGTAGTCAGCCAGAAATGTCTCAGACAATCACAGTGTTTCCTATGACTGAACACAACCCTGATTTTTACAGTGAATGTACCAGAAGACTCATGACTTATTCAAAATGTTCCAGGGAGTTTCCTCACTTTTATTCCTGTACACTTTTGAAAACTATGTGAAGAGTTGTAGAAATTATTGCATTTGATGCATTTAATATCTTCTAAAAATTCATAGATCATATAGAGAGCTCTTTATCAAGAAGGCAAAGAGAGAGAATGAAGAATTTTTATGTAGAATACTGAAAGAAAGAATCTACATTACTACCACTATAGAATCTGATGACCTGATGAGAGAGTAACTACTTTCTCTGGGTAAAAATACAGCTAGTGTAAAATCCAAAAGTTGAAATTAATTCACCCTTTTTATATCAGCTGAGGAGTTTCTTGCCTTATGTTGTGCTAAGGAGAAAACTCTGTAAAAGTCTGTGTAAGAATGTGGGGGTTTTTGGTTCCCCCCCCCACCCCAACAGGAAAATGTCATTTCCTTAGGAAGGTTATCTCTGGTACATAACATCAGGAGCCATAATTAGCTATGATGTAGTGTGTGGAAAATACCAAATATGCTGTTCTTGGAGTGTATATTTCCAACATGAGATAGGGGTGAGAAAAGGCAGATTCAGCCCTTAAAGAATCTGTTTAAAAGCCAGAAATGCCTGACATGTTTGCCAGGAAAAGCCCTCTTCTTGCAGTCATAGTTAACCATTTTGGAATGTCATTCCACCCACTGCTAAAACTGTTTTCCTCTTCTTTGTCAACACCTTTATACTCATAAAGGCTACAGTACCTTAAAATGAAAACCTTTCTGTTCAGCACACACTGTTAAATAATTAGACATGGTAGTTGGGCCTTCTAAGCTGATGATTTGTGCCTGTCTTGGTGCATCAGTGTCTCGACAGTTTTGTTGGAATGGTAGTAGACAAGGTGTCACTTCCCATGCCAGCTTGCTGGCATAAGTGATGGAAGTGTATTTGCAGTTTTAAAAAACGTTGTGTTTCCAATGCCATGTGGGAAGGAGCGTTCAGCCTGAACAGAATTTCTGCCAGGCACTTGTAGCTGGCAGAACACAGCTACTGGGTGCAAGCTCTGGTAGGTGCTGCTTGGTCATGCATCTGTTTAGAATTTTTACATCAAAGTGTAATGGTTTAATAGAAAATCCATGGCTGTTTTAGTAGTTTAAGAAAATTACCTTACAGTCCTTTTTTCTATATCTAAAGGTATGTTGGAGGATCTCGGACAAGTAAGCTCATGAGAATTGTGGATAAAATTACCAAGTCAAAATACTTTCAGAAAGCAACAGAGACTGAGTTTATTAAGAAGAAAATTGAAGAGGTCTCCAATACTCCGTTGCTGCTAACAGTTGAAGTCCAGGAGTGCAGAGGAACACTAGTGATTAACATTCCACCTCCACCCACTGACAGAATATGGTAAGAGGAACTTAGTTGCAGGTTGTGCTATTGAAGGGATTGCAGATGACAAAAAAGGTAAAGTCTGGCTGAAGTGGGTTCTGAAAGAGGACTAGTTGTAAATGAGGTAGGAATTGCTATTAGGAGGAAATTGAGCTACACATTTAAATATTTGCTTTGTTGGAGTGTCTGTACTAAAACCTGCTCCGTGCTCTCTCCCAAGGTACGGCTTCCGAAGGCCTCCCTACCTGGAGTTAAAAGCACGGCCAAAACTTGGAGAGAGAGAAGTGACTCTGGTTCATGTGACAGACTGGATAGCAAGGAAACTGGAGCAGGAGTTCCAGGTGTGTTTCCTTTACATCCTCATTTCATTGATGATAGTTTTGAACTATTTAATTTGAAGTTAGATGGTGTCCTCTGCTGCTCCCATTCGTGGGACAGACGAAGGTGAAGCTGCCTTCTGTGATGGTCTCAAGACTGTGTGTAGGCCTGGGTGGAAATCTATTTTAGCACTGGTCAGAATAATTTTAGAGATAATAAGGCATTTGTTTGAAATAGGTACCGTGATAAAATTTGTAGTACTCAAATAAAACCATGATCCTAGGTGTTCTTAGATGATAAGAGCACCCAACTGTTTTCAAAAATGGAGAACAGATACTAAGAGAGGTACTAAAGTGTCCTGTCACTACTTCATTGAAAATAATTTTTAATAATTACATTGACTGTAGTGTAAAGTAGGAAACAACCTCCAAATACATGCAGGATGGGAAGACTGACCACATGGATTCTGGACCCCAGCTGTACAACTGACCAGAAATCAAAACCACTTATCTCACTTAAAAGTTCAGTGTGAAAGTACGTGGGTTAAGAGCTGAGAAAGCAACAGAGTGGGGAAAGGTAGTGATTTTTTTCTGTAGTATCTTTTTAATTTAATGGAATTTGCAGAAATACTGATATTTCTGAGCTTCATTTACAAGTGTAACACAACACAATGGCCTGAATTAATGGGCACTGCACTGACTGGAACAATGCTGAGCTCAAGAATCTTTCGTCTGGAAATTTGTTGCATTTTTTAACTAAACAAATTGGAAAACCTAAGGTTTCAAGTGACATATGAAGTTTGTTGATTTAATTGTGTCTTTTTCACAGAAAATCTTTGTCATGCCAAACATGGATGATGTTTATATTCCTTTAATGCACTCAGCCATGGATCCCCGCTCGTCCACGTGCCCTCAAGATCTGAGCACGGAGGCCTCTGATCAACCATGACATGTGAAGACTCTTGCAGTTTACAGTATTATAAAAGTTATTCTCATGGTTTTATAAACTGTGCTGTAGTTCTCATCCTTAACTTGTGCCACTTTCCCCCCTCCCCAGGACTGTGCCCATACCTTTGTGCTCACTTGCCTGGTTATTGTTCCCGTGTACTTCAGCTCCACGAAGTTCCATTCCATTAAGCTGTTGATTTATTTTTGTACTGGCTGCCATCAGGATTTTAACTGGGAGGCTGAAATGACCTGTTCTTTGGGGGAGGGAGGAGGAACTGAAATGTAATAGATCAAGGAGCTCGTTGACGCACCTTTTGTTCAGCTTCTGTTTTCGTGCTCTGTTAATGTGCATTAAAGCATTGAAAAGTTGTTTGGCAGCAAAGGAACTGCGTGCCAAATGGGGAAAAAATCCTAAATAAGGAATGAATTTATAAAACTGGAAGAATATTTTTTCTTTCTCAGGCAGTTGGAGGTGTAGAATGAACTGTTTTATGTTCTTTCACTTCTGCAGTCAATAGCTTGTGTCAAGCAATCGAAATATGAAACGCTTTCAGGATAAAAGAATGTAAATTGGATGTATAGGTAATATTGTGATTCAATGGGATATATACATATTACTTTTTTCATACAGAACTTGTGCTTTTTTTGGGAAGCAAGTAGCCATAAAACACAACTATCAGTGAAGGTGGGACTGTCAGATCTTTGTAAAACGAGGAGGAAAAAAGTTGGTAAAGCCATGAGACCAAACCACAGCAAGCCGCCTTATAGTGAGGTACAATCACCTTGGTTCCTGATTAATTCTGAATGTTTCTCAAGACATGAGCACACACACAAAATGCCAACACTGCACATTACCAGGAGTAGTTACCTTACTGTGCTTAGAGCCTCTTGCTACGATGAAACACCGAGTTCTTTCTGAGGAGTTTGTTGCTGTGAGTCTTTTCCATTGCACTGTGTTTACACCCAAAGCATGGGCCCAAATCCTCCTGTTACAGCCCCAGACATCAAATCCCTTGGTGTTTGTGGGAACAGCTGTGGCTGACAGATTTTGACCCCCATGCATTGGTTTTTTAGGAATTCAAGCGTTGCAGTTGTTGGAGCTGATCATGATTAAAGATTTCTGCTAATTAATGGCCAAAACTAATGGGGAAGGGGAAACTGCCTTTTATTTCAGTCAGGTGTAATGATTCAAGGCTAAATGTATGCAGTAAATGCAAGATTCGAACACTACATATCCACTCTTTAACACATGTAATATTGTTCTGATGCTCAGTGTTGCCAACTGTTCATGGATGTCAGAAAACATTTTAGTTTACAAAGAAGGTGAGTTTTGGCTCTCCTTTTATAACATGATTTGCTTTTTTTTTTTTAGAATTTTTTAAGAATTTTGTACGTTGTGTTGTCACATTTGATGTAAATCAAAATTTCCATGTACAACTTGATGATTTACCATCTCTAAATGAAGCTATTATATTGAAGGTTTTTTAAACAGCACCTTGCCTGAAGCATAAAAAAAAAAGAAAATTAGCATTTAATATATTTAAAATTAATTCTATATTTGAACACCTATTTTGGTTACCTTTAATTGAAATATTAGTAGGTTATATTTGTTACCTGAACTCCTCCTTGACCATTCCAGGCTGTGTATATTCTGGGGTTTGCTGATTCTGTAGGCATTATTTGCCTTTCATGAAGTCTGCATGTCTTGTTACGCAGGTCTTTTCTATGAGTTAATTTCTATGTGCAATAACTTAAGTCAAAGGACTAGATGCACTAATGTGTAAACAGATTTAGACTTATTACACAAGATTGTCATATTGCACTTCATAAACTGTGGGTAACTACAATCTGCTTGCTTTGTTTTATTAAATAAATTTATCCCATGTCCAACAATTCAGTTAAATTTTATTTCTACAGCACTTAGCCATGATCCTGTGCAAGTTGTTCCAAAAACTTCATTAGAAAGGCAGTTTGCTGAGTGTGCCATGTGCTTGCAGTCTTTTTTATATATACATGTACTTGGTGATTCCAGGGGTAGCCAGTGCTGAGACTGTTAGAGCTTTAAAAGCCTAAATTTAATTTTACTGTCCTTAAACTAAATTAATCACAGTATTTAGTTACCATATGAGGCACGTGCTTTAAAATCATGTATTTTACAGTTGTGAAAACCTTGTAAGGATTAACAGCAATTAAGTCTGCACTTCTGTTAACTTCAAGAGCCTCTGTGAGCTTGATCATCTTTTACAGTCTGCCTGGACTCTGCTGCTGCTATTTTGTGTCCATTCGTGACATCAGAGTGGTTATATATTATATTTACAGAAAATACTGTACCTCTCCTTTGTCTGCAGGACACCTTTAGCACCAGTATTAACAGATGGAAAAAACAGAGGCCCTTTAAATAGCTGCAGGAGTCAAATTCCTATTTTATTTCAAGTTGGGTTTTTTTTTCTGTGTGCATAAAGGACCCCCAGCCCTGCATGTGTGTCTCCTGCATATTCACCCAGCTGCTTTACTCCTGCAACAGCTTGGCAGTCATCCCAGGACTTGGGTTAGTTTTTTCAAGTCCCTTTTACAGCTAAAACCTGAACTACCCCAGGAAAAAATTCCTGCCCCGGGCTATTTTGGGTTAAGTCGCCCTGAACCGTGACAGTGACCCGGAGCTGCTTTCGCTGGCACCGCCCTCTCCAGCAGGGACTGGGCTCCATCCAGGCCAGCAAAGTTTGTATACCCCGTCCCCGAGCCGTGTGTCCCCGCAGGGTGGCACAGGGTGGCTCTGGCACGCAAATGTCACTTGTTTTTAAAAGCGCCGCCCGGGAGGTGCCGAGCGGCCCCAGTTATGAACAAGCCTTCGCTGTAGCACCGCTGCTTGGCCGGCGGCGCCGAGCGGGCACCGCCGGGTCAAAGGCAGTGCGGGACCGCGCGGGAAGAACCAGCCGGACACGATTTGGGGCACACAGCTTTATTTACCGCCGATCCCGATCTCCGCACGGGCCCTGCAAGACACAGAGGGTAAAGGGGAGGTTACACACGCGCCTCACCCCGGCCGCCCCGTGGGGTGGGCGCAGCCGGGGCGCTCAGTAGTAGGTTTGCTTCACGTATATCAGCAGTCTAACACGTGTCAAGAGACATCACTGCGGCCCAGCCCGGCCTGACCCGCCCGCCCCCAAACCCAGAGCTGCGCTCACCTCCCTTGCCGCAGGAAGAAAAAAGGCCGAGCATCCCCCGCGCTCCCCTTTATAGAGCGGCCGGCTCCGCCCTCCTCGTGTTCTCCAATAGAATTTGAGTCTCGGGTCACGTGCTGATCCGGGTGCTGCTGTGCGCGAGGGTGGGCGGGGCCGCGTGAGGGCAGTGGGCGGGATCGCTGAGGGGGCATTGCCTTGAGGGGGTTCGGTGGTCTGGCGCCGCCCCCCGGCGTGTGCGGCAGCTTTATTCGCCTTTTCCGAAGCAGTTGTACTCTTCTCTTTCGTAGTTAGCTCTAGCGCTCTGTTGCTGTGAGGAAATAGGGCTCGATATTAAAAACATCAAAGCTCAGGCCCTCGGTCAGAGCTCCCCCCGCGCTGAGGGGTTGCTGCGGTGGTTCCTGAGGGAGGTGCCGGGAGCGGAGGGCGCTCGGGAACGCTCGGCTCTCTGCCCCTCCTCAGCACCTCTTTTGGTCATTTTTCCTGTTTCCAGTGGAGAGACACTCATGTTAAATAACTGCAATTTGGAATTAGCACATGCAGCGTTTGTGCAGCAACTGAAAAACTCCTCCCATGATGTAGCAGGATGCCAGGGCACACACAGTGTGTTCAGTGGTCTGCTTGTTCTCAGCCTGAATGCTTGAAAGCCAAGGCCTCCCTAAAGAAACCCGTTGGAAAACTGGAATTACAGTGCAGTTTGTAGCTCCAGCATGTTTTTATGTATTCAGGCTTGCAGGTCAGGTCATCATTAGGACAAGGCTCTGAGGTACATGGTGGGAGTGTTGGGGTGTCCTGTGCAGGGCCAGGAATTGGACTTGATCGTTGTGAGTCCGTTCCATCTTGGGGTATTCTGTGATTCTGGGTGATAATTACATCTCCTGCCTGCAATCAAAGAGAGCCGGTGTGTGCACATGGCATGGCTGGCCCCGTGTGTTCTGCAGCTCCATTAGTGATATCAGTTTAAAAAGCAAACAATATGTACAAGGACAAAGTGGCTTTGTTGTATAAATAGGTGGCTGAACGCTGGGCCATTGCCAGGCACTCTAAATTTACTCTTTTTACAGCTTCTTTCATTTGATTCAGTACTTTGTGTTTATTTTTATCGGTTCAGAGGAACCTGGATCAGGTTTTTGGTTCAAAGGGGCATGATGGGGTTTTTTTGCATTTATTTAAGGTGTTGCACAGCACAGGGTCAACAGTGAGTTTGTCAAGACAAAGGCTATGCCAAATAACTTTGGCCTGATCTGCCCTGAAAGTAAGAAATTAGTAAGGAAATTAGAATCATAGGATTATGAAGGTTGGATTATGAAGGTTCGAAGAGGCCTTTAAGATCAAGTCCAACTGTCAACCCAGCAGCTGTAACCCCTAAAGCACTAAAATGATATCACCCAGTGCCAGGTCCATACGCCTCCTGAACACCTCCAGGGGTGGTGACTCCACCACCTCCCTGGGCAGCCTGTTCCAGTGCCTGACCACCCGATTGTCCCGGGCACGGTGGTGCAAATTCGTGCCGCCTGAATTTCGGTATTTCTTGATAAGAACAAAGCAGCAGCAGCAGCCAGCTGCCATCGCAGCCCTCGGTTTGCCACGGGGCAGCCGCCCGAGCCCCCGGGCAGGCGGCGGGTCGGTCGGGGCTCGCTCGAACGGGGCGGCTCCGGCAGCAGCGTCTCTGGCCGCTCCCGGGCCCCCGGGAAGCGCAGCCCCCGGGCCGGGCGGTCCCCGAGCGCGGTCCCTGTGCCCGTCCGCCCGCGGGTGACGTGGTGCCCCGGCCGGGCGGTCCCCGCGCCCGCCCCGCCCGCTGCGGGGAGCGCCGGACGCGCCGGTCCGGAGGCAGCGCCGAGCGGGCGGAGCGGCCCCGCGGTGCAGCCATGGAGCGGCTCTGCCGCCTCCTCCTCCTCAGCCTGGCCGTGCTGTTGTTGCTGCTGCCGCCGAGGCCCGCGGTGAGTCCGGGCCCGCCGGGCCGGGGGAGGGCAGGGTCGGCCGGGGCACGGGGAGGGCCGGGGGAGCGGGGCCGGGGGATCCTGCCGGGATTAGCGAAGGATGGCCGTGGGTGCTGAGCCAACAGACCGCCCGGGTCACTGCCGGTAGTGCCGAGTGCTCCTGTGTGCGGGGTGAGGGGCTGCAGCCCCACAGCCTCATCCCGCCCCACAGCCGGATCAGCCCCAGAGCCTGACCCAGCCCCACAGCTGGGTACCCGCAGCTGTGTCCTGCCTTGCCACCCGCTGTGTGTCCTAGTCTGATACGCGTGTCCTAGTCTGAACATATATATCATAATCCTCGAAATATAAAAATACAAGTAATTTCCCACAAAGTAGTTGGAAAAAGTAGTACAGAGAAACTTTTGAAACAGTAGTACAAAGAAACTTTTAAAAACTGAACCTATGTAGATTGGTATAGGAACCAGGGAGATCCTGGAAGGTCTTTGCTCTGCCTCCTTGTAATTAATGGGGCTTGTTTTCTTTCTGAAAAAAACCCCAGCATTGCATATATATTGATAACCAAATGCAAATGATGGGTTACAGGCCCAGTCATGGCATTTTGGTTGCTCTGTTTCCAGAGCAAACGCAGCAATGTGCATTAAATTTACATGTGGTTGGTTGGGATCCAAACCAGGCCACAGTTTTGAATTCAAAGGTGAAAGACAAAGTGCACGAGTCACTGCCCTACAAAACCTCTTAAGAAATAACCAGGTTTGTTGTAAGGTATTGCTATAGGTGGAGCAATAAAAGTGCATGAAATAGGGAAACTGATGCAAAGCAGATGGAATGCTGAGCAGATTATTTTTACAGAGGTAATAATTTTAAACAGTGTACTTTACAGTGGGTGCTGTCTGTTGTGTGTGTACTGAGATGGAAAGCTAAGTTCAAAAATTCACTTCTGAAAGGTGCTCTTGTTTGCAAGTGCTCCAGATCAGGAGACAATGAAAAAGGCCACCTGGCATTTACTGTTTTCATTGTACTCGAATGTAGCAGAGGAAAGTTTGAGGTTCTGTTCTTTGATGGATTGTTCATTGTTACCTGAAAATACTGGAGTAAGTAAGATATGGGGTTATAGTTCGGGTTAAGCAAAGCTGAAGGCTTTGTTTTTCACCTGGGATATAATAGCTCCACTCCCCTTCTTTAAAAGTAAAGTAAACACATTAGCAGTGAAGCTGTGTAACATACCTACTGTTGTTACTTCGTTAGGAAACTGAAAAAAAATTAAATGCAGGCTGTCAACAAAAAATACTTTAGAATCTTTATTGTACGGTGCTAATGTGTTTGTCTTAATCTGGACTGTGAGGTTGAACTGAGGTCTCTCCAGATTTGGGCTTCAGATTTTGCAAGGGAAACACTGATTTTTAACTCTTGAAGTTTTAAAAACAGTACTCAGTAAAAACAGTAATAAGTATTTTTAAATACTAAAAATGCTTTTCAAATCAACAGATATTAATAAATTTTGTATATTTTTACTTGCACAGTCACAAAAAAATAGACTCATACCCTGGTAGAATTCAGCCCTTTTTCTGTGGATTTCTCTCTCCCCTTGGTCTCCCTGCCCTGCCACCTCAACTCAATATCTGATCTCAGGTTCTCCGTTTCTATTTCTTTTCTTGGCTCTCTCCCTGCTCTTTTTGCTCTGCCAGCTGTAGATCCTCACTGTGACTTCAAAGTTGAAATCTATTGCCCAACTCCAGTCCCTTTTCAGAACTGGTTTTAATTTCTGTGAACTCAGTCCCAGTCACCTCACCTGTGATTAACCCGTTTAACAGTGAAGGCTTATTTAAAACTATTCTTGTCACTTGAGTAATAAATTCCCATGGAAAAGACTGGCACACGATCCTTGGTGTTGAGGTAATGTAAAAACACGAGACTGCCTAAAGACTTTGCAGATTGTTTTCTTTAGATTTCTTCTATGAGTAGTGGTGGTGATCTGCTGCTCTGTATTTTCCTTGTCTGTTAACTATACTGTTGGTTACCTGCCATCCACATTATGAAAGGGTGAAATCTCAGATACAGCAGTGAGAAATGCAGTAGAGCTGTCAGTAAATAACAGCCACCATCGATATAATACACTAATGATTTACAGCTCCCTTTACATTGAAAAGAACCTTGTTGTTGTGAGCCCTGGACGTTCCAAACTGTGCCTGATTCTGTTTTAGCATGGAGTCAGTGCAACTGGAAAATAACAACCTCTCTGGGATTAAAGTGGCATTTGGAACACGAGTCTGTCCCTCCTGCAGCCGGTGGGACAGGTTTCAGTGCTGGGTTTGTGTGCAGGCAGCTCCTGACACGGGAAAATCCCAACCTCAGCCAGGTGTGTTTCCTTCTGGAGTGTTCTTTCTCTCAGCACGAGGTGTTTGCCCAGGGAACTGATAGGTGTGAAACCCCGTGAAGGTTTACAGAGGACATGCTCAAGCACTGTGTTAACTAGCAGTGATGTGTTTTATTTGAGTTGCAGGTCTCCTTGGCTGCTCAAAAAAATAGTCTAATAGGGTCTGGGGGTTTTTGAGGGTGGGGGATGTAAATTTGTCTTGCACATTTAAAATTAGCGTGGACAGCTCTGGCCTGGAGTGTAAATGATGTGCTACGTGTTTATAACTCTGCCCTTGGATTGCTGGTGTTCTTGTGGCTACTGAAATAAGTTTGGGTTTTACAGAGAGAATCAAGGTTGAAAGCTCATCTGGGAGGAGAGGGCAGTTGGGGTGACCTCTTGTAGCCTTCAGTTTTTCCTATTGCAGTAGGAGTGGGTGTATGAATGAGAACCCCCTGAACTGGGTTACAGCCTGATGAGAAATAGCTAATTGGAATTTGTCTAAGATTAAAAGATCTGTAGAATTGATTTAGCTTT